CCATCGCGAGTGGGCAAACACGTGACTTTACGCTGATACACTCATACAAATTTGTTGAGATGTAATCCATATGCCCTACACTTCCCCTGTCTCAGCTTTTAGTTATTTACAGAGTTGCACAACGACCGCCACTATTTAATTCCAGAACATCTTCATCATCCCAAAGTGAAATCCCAGATTCATCAGCTGTCGCCTCGGATTCCTTCTGTCCCACAACTTCTGGTACCCACTCGTCTCTGTCTCTCCTTTTGTCCCCCCTCGGACATCTCACGTTGGCGTACTCATGTGTGAGTGCCGATGGTGTCTGGCTTCTCTCACCTGCTTCCCGCTGGGATGTGACAGTTGTGGATGTCCCCACGTGACCCAAGCTGGCCACTTCACTCCTCTTTTCTCCCCTGGCTTTGGCCTCAGTTTCCCTAACTGCAATATGGAAAGTTAGTTCTCTAAGCAAGAGCATCTCCAGGAGAGGGTGTGACTCTGGAAGGGGGGGTTGGAAAACTGTAGAGGGTGGTGTCAGCGAGACAAGGGCTGTCCAGCAGTCGGGCCAGGCTCCTGGCTCACATCTCAGCTCACCACTTCATGGCTGGAGGAAGTTGGGTGAGGTTCGTTCGCTCCTCTGCCTGTGTTTTCTCATCTAGGAAAGTAAGGAGCCAGGTGCTGTGACAACTGGGTGAGATCACTGTTTGCTGGGGGATCCCGTGCATCTCCCAGGAAAGCACACATCCGTGTGGAAGGAAGTCCACGGTGTGGGCCCACTGACAACAGCAGCTTGGCAGAAGTCAGAGGTTAAAGTGAGGTTATGCTGGAGCCGAGTGAGCCCTCAGTCAGACAACTGTCACCATTCCAAGAGAGAGGAGGGCCCAGAGTCAAAGAGAAGGAGGGGACGCATACTAGAGCGATGTGCCCTGAGCCCGTGAGTGCAAAGAGTAACCATAGCCACAAGGATCTGAGGGAGCAGTGAAGAGTCCCCTCAGGGCCTCCAGCTGCCACAGTCCCAACATCCCTTCCCAAGCATGAAGGAAAGCATCTTAAGAAAGACTAGCACCGTCCAGCCTAGTGAGTTTCACAGATTTTACCAAGTGAAAGAGATTGGAGCCTTTCCCATGGTCACATAGCATGTCAGAGGCCATGCCAGGCTCCCAGATGCAGGAGCATGGGCCTGGGACTGCTGGGTTTGTATACCCATCTCTGCAGCTCCAGAACCTGTGCTAGCCCACTTCTTTCCTCCCCCCGGCTCCCAGGGGCAGGTGTCTCCACCTCTCAGCTTGCAGCTCACAGTCACCAAGCCCCTAGGGAAATGCTGTTGTTTTATAGACGATGCTAAAGCATGACAGAGGTGGTTCTGAGCCTCCTGAAGATGCTGCCTTTCCACCGTGTCATCCATGTGGCTCTCCCAATGGGACAGCAACAGCATTTGCTCTTCTAAGGCTGACCTTAGTCCTGCTTAGGTCATGTCCTAATGCTGGATAGTTTTATGTCAGCTTGACACAAACTAAAGTGGAATGGAAGGAGCCTCAATGAGAAAATACCTCCATAAGACTGGGCTACAGGAAAGCCTATAAGGCATTTTCTTAATTAGTGATTGATGGAGGAGGGCTCAGCCCATGGTGGGTGGTGCCATCCCTGGGCTAGTGGTCCTGGGTTCTATAAGAAAGCAGACTGAGTAAACCATGGGGAGCAAGCCAGTAAGCAGCACGCGCGCGCGCGCGCGCGCGCGCGCACACACACACACACACACACACACACACACACACACACACACACACCATGGCCTCTGCATCAGCTCCTGCCTCCAGGTTCCTGTCTTGTCCTGGTTTCCTTCAATGATGAACAGAAATGTGAAAGTGTAAGCCAAATAAACCCTTTCATCATAGCAATAGTAACCCTAACTAAGACGGTAGAAGACAGCCATGCAGCCCTCCTGAGCTGACAGGACCACAGTCATGTGCAATGGTGAAAACCGAAGTAGCCCCTGCTAGGAGCCCCCAGCCCAGTTGCCTCCCTGGGGCATGGCCTGCAGCTCTGACTGCATGGTGACTGATCTGCAGCTGAGGATCCCAGCTCCTGCAGGCAGCGTGGGAAACAAGTTCAGCTGCCCTGCTGGGCCTGACAGAGTGAGGCTTGAGGTCCTGGGGAAATGATTCCATGTCTCACACCTCCTACCCTGACATCCAAATCGGGGGCCCCAAAACCAGAGTGTTGCCTTGAGGTCAAATAATCTGCCACCCGGAGAAAGGCACAGTGGCACGGCCTGGTTCAGGGAGACCCGAAACACTTGACTGTATATCGGGGCCTTCTGGGGTGGCCTGGGCTTTCCTCCAGCTTTCTGTAGGAAGAGGGAAAGTTCTGACAAGGGGAAGGACTGAGTCACCTCTGTACCCCTGGTGCACACACTGGACCTGGCACAAATGGTCCAGGACATGTTTACTGACCTAGTACAAATGTTGCTGCCATTAGGTATAAATAAATAGTTTCTGAATTCACTCAACAAATCCTGAGCACCCACAATGCATCAGCCTGATGATTGGCGTTGAACCTGTGACCTTAATACAAGGAGATAAACCCATTTACTTGCCAGGAGAACGCTCACCCAGTCAGGTGAGAGCGAGCACGTGTGTGTGGAACATGTGGAAAGTGACAAGGGGAACTAAGGGCCAGGAAGACAGGGTGGAGTCTCCAAAAATAGCTCCATCAGGAGATGATTTGTGGGTAATGGGAAGACCTAAAGGGGTGAGCATGTGGCTTCCTGGGAAGGCTGCTCCAGGCAGAGGGAACCAGCAGTTCAAAGGCCCTGTGGTGAGGCATGTGTCAGCCCCGACACCATTGAGGAGATCTGGAGGGTTAACTGGGTGATCCAGGCAGGGCCCTGGGAGAGCTGTGCTCACAAGCAGTGGAGGCTGCCACAGATGGCTCTGAAGACCATCACCCTGCCTTTGTTTCTGCTGGAGACAGGGTGTCAACAGGGTAGAAATGACTTAGATTCCAGAAAATAAAGAAATAGAGCCGATTGTCGGAGTTAGGAGTACCTTCAGATAGAGCCTTGGAGAAGGCTCCTCTTGAGGACTGGAGCCAGGGTTGAAACTCCCTTGAGGAGTGCCTAGAAGCCCCCGTGTGCTTTTCCAAGCAGCTCAACACAGGACCCAAGAGCATAGGTGGGTTCTTTGTCAGCTCCCCTGGTTCATGGAACCCTGGCCCAGCTTCCACCCTCTAGTGGGCATCTCCTCATCCCAGGACACAGCCCAGAGCCCCCTACCTCAGGATAGTTGCAGGTGGCTCGGTCATCAAGACGCTCTCACACTCACAACCGTCCCCTGAAGGTGTCCAAGTGTCCCTGTATTCCTCAGTCTGGTGCTGGGTATAAGGGACGTAGGAGACCGAGATAGGGATGAGGTTTGAACAGGAAGAAAGGTGCAGAAGGGCACTGTCTCAGGTTCTCATGGTGAGTCTTAGAAACATCAGGAAACCTAGCTGTCTGCTCACTCACAGGATGTCTCCAGGTGTCTGTCTCAGCAAGAGGAGTGGAGCCATTGTCCTGGAACGTCCACACATGTCTTGAACATCCGTCTAACAGGATGTATGAAGGAAAGAAAAAACAGTAAAGCAAAGAGAAGAGCTTCTAGTCCTTAGTCATAGCCATGCTGTGTAAAGTTCCTAACCTGTGCCCAGAAGGTGGACAACCACTGTCTGAGTCAGGGTTTCTATGGCTGTGAAGAGACACCATGACCACAGCAACTCTTATAAAGGAAAACATTTAATTGGGGCTGGCTTACAGTTTCAGAGGTTCAGTCCATTATCATCATGGTGAGAAGCATGGCAGCGTGCAGGCAGACATGGTGCTGGAGAAGGAGCTGAGAGTCCTACATCTTGATCTACAGGCAACAGGAAGTGAACTGTCTCATCGGGTGTAGCTTGAGCATAGGAGACCTCAAAGCCTACCTCTACCGTAACACACTTCCTCCAACAAGGCCACACCTCCTAATAGTACCACTCCCTTTGGGGGCCATTTTCTTTCAAACCACCACAACCACCAACCTTGAACAAAGGTGAGGGCTGGGCTCTGAGGAGGCCAGGGCATCTCACCTCAGAAGAAGCGTACCCCACTGTGGTTTGTGTGTTTTTCTCTCCACTGTCTTCACCTTGGATGGAGGTAGAGGTATTGTGTGATAGGAGTGGAGGAGATCTTGTGGCACCTGGCAGGCAGGGCCTGTCTAGAGCAGCAGTAAGTGGTAGAGAACCCACCATGCAAGACCAGTGAGGAGAACAGCAACTGGGGAACTAAAAATTGGACCCATGCATCTCAAGTGCCAGGACTGACATTCTGTGGAGAGCCTTCATGCATGATTCAGCCTCCGTGTCCTGAGGAGGAGAGCTGCCCAGCTAGCCTGAGGGCCTATCTAGAAGCATCAACTGGTCAGGTTCTCCTCTATGCCCTGGCTTCTCCACTTTTTTTTTCCTTTCACCCAGGGGACTGACTCAACAAAGAGAACTCAACCAGTCTGTGTGGATGAACCAGCCCTGACTACACATGTGGGAGTTACAGATGGAGCCCACTCAAAAGAGGCAGAAGACCCTCATGGAGGGTCCATCCCGTCTTACACTCATTTGGCTCCCACGTTTACCTCTCCCTTCATCCATTACCCAAGACAAAGGGACCCTCTGCTCCCTGACCCTAGGCCAGCTTCCCACCACAATGAGGATAAGCCTGTTTTCAAAAACTTTCCATCCTAGCCAGGGTGGCCCCGGCCCTGAGCCAGACACCTCAGATTCATTCCGCAAAGCCCAGCTTCATCAGCCTTCACAATGCTTGTGGGTACAGTCCCACCCCCAACCTGGCCTTCTGCCCTTGGCTGTTCTCGTTCCTAAGGGAGGACATGTCGACATATCTTCTGGGTCAGAGAAGCTGAGATGAGGCCCTTCCTCATCCCACCAGAACTAGTTAAGGGCTCGGCTGAGAGCAGGTCAGTGCTAGGCAGGGGGACATGTCCCCAGGACAGATGCTTCTCAGCCATGGTCCAGTCAAGACTGTGGGATCAAGGGCGAGTCAGCACTGGCTAGCAAGACCTGGCTACACTGCCAAGTAGAAAAGCCCACGGCTTGTGCTTTTCTCTGGCCCAGCCAGCCCTAGGAGAATACAGAGCACCTGCTGAACCCTGGCTGGCTCACAGTGCCCCACCCCTGGGGAGTGGTACAGCCCAAGGGGGACGGCACGGGAACGTCTCACAGGTTCCAGCTCTCTCTCTTTTATTTTTTTCTTTCTGCTTCCATGATTTCGCGACCCCCTCTAGCACCAAGAGAAAACATCTGGAAATGTTGCTGGGGGTTGTGAAATCATGGAAGCAGAAAGAAAAAAATAAAAGAGGGAGAGAGGCCGGGTGCCAGACACAGCAGGAGCATCTTTGTCTGGATGAGTTGGACTCATCTCTAGAAACAGAGTTCCAGCCACAAACCTGAGTGGTTTCCAGCAGGAAGGGCAGAGCGAGACAGCCGGAGGAATGAAGAGAGACGGCTGGCCAGAGGCGGAGGATCCTGGCGCCCAGCTCTTAAAAATGGTCAAGAATTCCTGCCTCTCTGAAAGTCAGGCCTCGGGTAGTTCAGCTTAGTGGATGCCGACTCACACCAAAACCAAACCCAGAGCCGCCAGCAAGGATTAGAAACAGCTCTGCTGATCTTACTCAACTTCGAGCACTGGGTGAGTCAAACTTTTTCTGAGCTCACTGTTTGTACAACGGAGTCCACACTGATGGATTCTTGGCTATGTGTCTTTCGCTGCTCAGATTCAAGAGGGGACCTCCTAATGTGCTCCCGAAAACCTGTAGCCAAATCCCAGACCTCCTGGAGCCAACAGGGAATGGAGCAAGCCATCACTGAATATACTGACGGGGGTGAGCTTTGGAGACGTTGGCCACGCCGAACTGTGTCTGCGGAACCTATTTGCCAACACACAGTAGTTAGGCAAAATCAAAGGCCACAAATGTCAGAGGAGAAAGTGCCAAGTTGTTGAAGAACCTCCTTCTATCCCTAAGTGCCAAGAGAAGGTGACGCCAAGACTCCTCCCACCCCAGCCTCCTCTGGCTTGAAAGACTCACTTTTTGGGTAATCCCCTGTGACATCATGGGAACAGAGGTGGTTTCATTTAAGACCAGCGTAAGTCCAGAGAGCTGCCCAGTACAGAAACCTTCCAAGGTAGCTGTCGCCATCAAATCTCAGCCGAAGCTGTGAGCTTCTTCGTTTTCTGTCTGGGTAAGTCTATCGCCATCTGTTCTCCTCTTAGGACCGTTAAATGCAAACGGAGATCATGCCTCTTAGCAAAAGACAACAGACAGAAAATGTTTGTCTACATATGTACTCGCAGAACGGACAGGCTACAAACCTTCATTTTAAACAGAATTTGTATCCTATGTCCCGTCTGTTTGGGTCTGTTTCTGGTTTGGAGGAACGGCTTTTTGTTGTTTTGGGACAGTTTCCCAGTGTAGTCCAATACTGCTTCGGGCTCTCCAATTCTGGGTTTGCAGGCATGAGCCATAATACTCAGCTTATGGTTTGGGCTTTAATTGTGTGAGTGTGTGTGTGTGTGTGTGTGTGTGTGTGTGTGTGTGTGTGTGTGTGTGTGTTGAGACAGGTCCTTCTATGTACTTGTGGCTGTCTGTCCTGGAACTCACTATGTAGACCAGGCTGGCCTTGAACTTGCAGAGATCCACCTGTCTCTGCCTGTGGAGTGCTCAGATTAAAGGCGTGCGCCACCATGCCTGGCCTTGTCCCCTCTTCTTGGAAACTTTCCCCCCTTCATTTTGATTTTCTGTGTATGGGGGTTTCGCCTGCATGTATGTACGGACAGCATGTTCATGCAGTGCCTGTGGAGAACAGAAAAGGATGCGGAATCCTCTGGGACTGGAGTTACAGATGGTTGTGAGTGGCCATGGGATTGCTGGGACTCAAACACTGATCCTCTGGAAGAGCAGTCAGTGCTGGTCTTAGGGTTTCTACTGCTGTGACAAAACACCATAGCCAAAGAGCAAGCTGGGGAGGAGAGGGTTTGTTTGGCTTACACTTCCACATCATAGTCCATCATTGAAGGAAGTCAGGACAGGAACTCAAACAGGGCAGGAAACTGAGCCAGGAGCTGATGCAGAGGCCATGGAGGGGTGCTGCCTAATGGCTTGCTCCTCACAGCTTGCTCAGCCTGCTTTCTTATAGAACCCAGGACCACCAGCCCAGGGATGGCATGATCCACTGTGGGCCCGGCTCTCCCCCAACGATCACTAATTGAGAAAATGCCTTACAGCTGGATCTCATGGAAGCATTTCCTCAACTGAGGACACACAAGACCAGCCAGGAGAGTGCTTTTAACCAATGAGCCTTTCCTCCAGCCCCCACTAGTTCCCTCTTTTAAACTAGGTCAGTCCTCTCCACCTCTAAAGGAACAGGTAGCAAATACTGTCAACTTTGCAGGCCAGACAGCCTGGGCCACACCCACTCTGCTCTACTATGGTAGTACAAAAGTAGTCAAAGGTGCTATTACATAAGCAGTGAGTACGGATGTGTGCCAATAAAACTTTATTGTCTGGGACAGACCACAGGCTGGGTTTGACCTCCTGTATTCTCTACTCTGTCCATTTCAGGTCACTGTGGATGGCGTCCCAGGCCTTGTTGGAGCTGCAGCCCTCTAACCAAAGCCAGCAGACCCCTCCCAACATCACCTCCTGCGAGGGTGCTCCAGAAGCCTGGGGCCTCCTGTATAGGGTGCTACCAGGGTTTGTCATCACCATCTGTTTCTTTGGCCTCCTGGGGAACCTCTTAGTCCTGTCCTTCTTTCTCCTGCCTCGGCGGCGGCGGAGGCAACACCGCTTAACCATAGCAGAAATCTACCTGGCTAACCTGGCAGCTTCTGACCTGGTGTTCGTCCTGGGCCTGCCCTTCTGGGCAGAGAACATTGAGAACCATTTCAACTGGCCCTTTGGCACTGACCTCTGCCGGGTGGTCAGCGGGATCATCAAGGCCAATCTGTTCATCAGCATCTTCCTGGTGGTGGCCATCAGTCAGGACCGCTACAGGTTGCTGGTTTACCCCATGACCAGCCGGGGATGCCGGCGGCGGCGGCAAGCCAGGGCCACCTGCCTGCTCATCTGGGTGGCAGGGGCCCTCCTGAGCATCCCCACCTTCCTTCTGCGGTCTGTCAAAGTCGTCCCCGACCTGAACATCTCTGCCTGCATCCTGCTTTTCCCCCACGAGGCTTGGCATTTTGCAAGGATGGTGGAGCTGAACATTCTGGGTTTCTTCCTCCCATTGGCCGCCATCATCTTCTTCAACTATCACATCCTGGCCTCCCTGAGAGGGCAGAAGGAGGCCAGCAGGACCCGGTGTGGGGGTCCCAAGGGCAGCAAGACGACAGGGCTGATCCTCACCCTGGTGGCCTCCTTCCTGGTCTGCTGGGCCCCCTACCACTTCTTTGCCTTCCTGGATTTCCTGGTCCAGGTGAAAGCAATCCAGAGCTGTGCCTGGAAGGAATTCACGGACCTGGGCCTGCAGCTGGCCAACTTCTTCGCTTTCATCAACAGCTGCCTGAACCCACTGATTTACGTCTTTGTGGGCCGGCTTTTAAAGAGCAGGGTCTGGGAACATTATAAATGATGCACTCCCAGAAGTCTCATGCTCGTATCCCACAATGGGAAAGAACTCATCCGACGGTTCTGACAGAATTAAAACAGCAGCAAGACAAGAAGCCTGGCTTCTTGACCAACCGTCTGATACCGTAAAGGCCATCTGGTTGGCTGACCCACGGCCCACAAGGATGCCCGGAGAAATGCTGCTAATAGGGTAGCAGGGACCTTGCAGTTGTAATGAAGCTAAGGATCTGGAGATTAAGCTGATCCTGAAGTAGTTGGGGCAGGGGGAGCAAAATGATCACAGGGGTCCTTTGAAGCAGGGACTTAGGAGGGCTGGAACCTGTGAAGACTGAAGCAGAGGTCAGAGTGACGAGGAAGGGGCCACAAGCAGAGGACTGCAGGCCCCCTTAGAGGCTGGAGAAGAAAGAGCACAGACAGACGTCTTCTCTGCAACCTCCAGAAAGAACCAGCCCAGCCAACATGCTGGCTTTAGCCCTGTCCCCCACGACTGTGAAAGAAGAAAACTGTGAGAGAATAAAGTTGTGTTCTCATTTGCATTTGCCAAGTGTGTGATTACTGCTACAGCAACAACAGACAACCTACACAAACACCCAGAAGGTGTAAAAATCAACATCCTTACACTTCCATTCACCCAGACCTTCCTAGGCTGACTGAGGAATGCAGAGGTGGGGTAGCTGCAGACCTTGTCCACAAAGAGCGTGCCTAGGTCTAAATACCCCTGTCAGAATGGGAAGTTCCATTGGCTACAGACCCAGCAGCTCCCAGGGAAGGGTCAGTTCCTCCCCTCAGGTCTGTGCAGGGCAGACTCTGGGGCCTGTGGAGACAGACAGGAAGGGCTGGGTATTCACTCCTGCAGTGGGAAGGCACAGGCTGCTGCCCAGAGTTCACATGAGAATTGCTGGATGCCGGAGCCTCCACCTAATCTCTTCTTGGCTTCAAGGATCCCGCAGGGACTCTCCCAGAATCTCTGCCTCCAGAGAACTCTGCATGATACACAAGAGAGTGTCACAAGACAGAAGAACCCAACCATCCAGGTGACAGGGTGGGTTGAGAGCACAGGGCAGTGGGGGCTGGCTGGGACAGGTAGAGGAGTATTCTAGGAGACATAGCATGACTTTTAAAAAGCTAGCAGTTGGCCAAGCAAAATAAGGAAAGGGTGTGGTCCAGCTAGAAGAAGCAAGCTAATGCAGAGCAGTGGGCTTTCAAGTTAGGAGAGAAAAGTCAGGGGAAGGGCAAGGAGGTCACAGAGGCAGGGGTCGGAGGAGAAGAGACATTGAGTGAGTATTTGATGCCTACCAATAGATAGTGAGTATTGATACCCACAATAGAGCTCACAAAGCAGAGGGGCATTCTGGGGGCTCTGAGGGACCCCACTGAACCTATACAGCATGAATTTGTGGTGGCGATTTACTCACTGAGACTTGGCAAGCCCCAGAAGGCAGTCAGGCTGTGCTGGGGTTGGATTTCAGCAGATAGACTGTCGTAGTTCTGGGAGGCTGAGGGTGTCAGTCAGCCTGTGGGGAATGGCTGAGGGGTGGAAGGAAGCGAGCCTAGATGGTGGAGTAGTTGGCTTTCCCTTACTGTGACATAACACCCAAAAAGGTCAACATAACAAGGTTTATCTCAGCTCACAGCTTCAGAGGGTTCATCTGTGGCTGGCCTTGTTGCTGTGGGTTAGGGTCAGGACAGAGCATCTTGGCTGGAGTGCACGGGGCAGGAGGTGGATACATACATCACGGTGACTGGGAAGCAAAGGCAGACAGGAGGAGCTGGGTTCCAACATCTCCTCTAAGGGAATGTCCCCCATGACCTAACCTAAACATCCCACGACTTCCCAAGAGCATCACAAGCTGGCCTTTGGGGGACGCCTTGAGATCCAAACACTAGCAGGAGGTGGGGAAGGGTAACCTTGGAAAAGGGCAAATGTTGTGGGAACACCTTGACCAGTGTGAAAGGATGTCCTCAAACGTCGCAGCAGGAGAGTCACCCCAGGGGTGACAAGGACAAGCTCAGCTGTGGCACTGGGGCATGTTGGGGGGCGGGGGGGGGGAAGGGTAGTGGAGGCAGTGGGGGATAAAGACCTAAGGAATTGCACAGGTTGGGTAGGTTGCCTGCCAGACCCACCATCAGGGAGACCCTGCCAGGCCTAAGAGAGAGTTGCTGAGCCAAGGGCCAAGGGCCATGTCTAGCATGTATCCCAGGTAGGTGGGGACAGGCACCTGCCACACCTGCATGGAAGGGGTTAGTCCTCATGGAATAAATCAGATGCAGATTCACTCAAAAACTAAAAAGTAAGTCAGTACTCCCGGAGCCTGGCCACGGGTCTGCCAGGCTGGGCTACCAGAACCTTTGTGATAACTCTAAGGTCACTGCTCCAGCTCAGTGGTTTCCAGGAGAGAGTAGTGTGGCCTGGACATACTAGCAGGATCCAGTCTGGACCCTACGGACTTATACAATGCTTTTGCATTCATTGCCAATGTGAAATCCCACATCACTGAAGATTTCCAGCTTGCCTGAGCAGCTGGTGGTGTGTTTTTTCTGGTCAGCAGATGGTCTAGCCTCTGGCCACTGCTGTTGGCATTGAGAACTCTGCAGTGAACAAGAGAGGGCCACTCCCGGTGCCCTCTAGGATGGTCCCCTGAGGCTCCCTGGGGCACAGAGACCTTGGTGGTCAGCAGCAGTATACTGCCAACAACGTGGCCTCCCACAGACATCACAAGTGCCTGGCAGCCCCAGGAGACTGAGTTTGATACCTCTGATGTAGGTCAGTACTTTGGTTGACCGTCTAGGAAGCTGGACCAGTGTGCCCTGCCTGAGTGTGGTCCCACCTCTAAGAAGAGTGAGCTGGTGTGTGAACCTTGAAAACACAGCTCACAGCCTGCAGGTCAGGGATTGGGGGCTGGGGGGCTGGGGGAGTGTGTGTGTGTGTGTGTGTGTGTGTGTGTGTGTGTGTGTGTGTGTGTGTGTGCATTGGAAGAACAGCAGCAGACACCTGATTTATGGAGGCAGGGCATACGAAGAAGCCTGGAGCTCAGCTCTGCAGTGGGATGGGACGGCAGCAGGGAGCAGCTGACCTAACTGCACAGAAAGGCTGCTGTGTTCCTTCTGTCCAGCTGCAGGGGAGAGCCTGGCCTTGGTTCAGAACCAGTGCTGGAGAAGAAAGAGATATTTTCCGTTTCCACAGTTTTGGGGATAGGCTCTGCTGGCGCGTTTCACACTTAGGGCTGGGCCCAGCCACACTGGAGTGTCAACACTGGCATGGACAGTGAATTAGCCAGGGGTCCCCCATATCTCCCAGAAACTATTTTCTCTTGTAGAGGGGCCAAGGCCAGAGGTGAACTTCTTCCCCAGGGCACTGCCAGCTCCTGGGCTTATCTTGTTTTTGCTGCTCTGAACAGGGAAGGAGACAGACTCCAGTCACATAGATCATCCCTCACCCTATGCATCATGGTACTGAGCACGGCTAAGCCCCTCCAAATCCCAGCCCTGGGGAGCTCCTACATGTTGCAATGGCCAAGGCAGGTTCTCGTTCTCTGTGGATGAGTCATGAGTTTGATGAGAAGCAGATAGGAAGGCTTCTCATCCCCACCCTCACAACAGCTCCCACAGGCCTGGGAACCAGACCCAAGGCTCTGGTGATCTCTTGGTTCCAGCTGAGCTCATCTCTGGTCTCTGAACACCTTCAGGTCCTTCTTACTGTCTTCCTACTAGAGCTGTTGTTGGGGTTACAGACAGGGCTCTGGTTGTCAGGGTTACAGACAGGGCTCTGGTTGTCGGGGTTACAGACGGGGCTCTGGTTGTCGGGGTTACAGAC